CAAAGCCACTCCTGTTTTCAGAGAAGAAAAAAAGAAAGGAAATTTAAAAACAAAACAAAACAAAAAACAGAGGCGCAAACATGTCTTTATTTTAAAGTAACTTGAGCTTACAGTATAATCACACAACTGCACAATTTCCATATAAAACAAAGAAATGATAGGAGAAAAATAACACTTATTAAAAAAAACAAAAACAAAAAAAGTGTCATTACTGAGGTGCAAATACACTGCTTAGGGCTAAAATACCTTGAAGATGAATTATTTTGTTATTTAATACAACTGCTGTAGTTGCATTTTTTTTTTTTTTAAATAGACATGGTAAATGGTTACCGAATGTCCGCAAAGCACCTGCACACTGTGGACAACCATATTTAGATAAAATCTCATTTAATGTCAACTCCTATTTAAACGTTTAGAGAATTAATAAGTAAAGGCTGTGTTTTTCAACAAAACTCAATCCAAACAGATTTTAACCCATATTTCTGAAATTTAGAGCAGTGAACCACAACAGTTACTCTGTAAAGTGCAGTGCTTTTTATGTGTTAAAAACATGCCCCTGTTGAAGCTTGTCTTATGGATACAAAGGAATAGTGACAATTTGCCTGCTGACCTGCTGAAACTTTAGTCTGATGTCTCAACAGCAAGAAGTCGAGGCGCAAAAGTAGTGAAGATATTCTGCTTCCACCTACATATACACGTAAAAGCATACTAAATGCTTTGGATGGAAACAGCCAAGAGAAACTGTATGAGTAGTATTGTTTGTTGTCTAAATAAATATTTCCTATTGATCTAAAACAAAACACAACAAGCAATGCTTTAGTTGTTACACAACCATGCTCAGGAAAACAAAACTTCCTTCCGTTGATTGCTAAAGTTTGTGTACTGATAAAACAATAATCAGAAAAGTCTAATTTAAAACTAGTTGTAAATCTAAAATCCGTTTACGTTAATCCTCTATGAAGAGTGCCAGATTGTTAAAGCAAATGAAATAAATACCAAGGGAAAGATTATTATGGGGGGAAAAAAACATGGAGATACCGCAGATTGAGCACTTCCCTATATATGGCCTGGCCAAACATTTATATTATTCAGTAGGATTACAGAAAAAGCATGTTTCCAGCAATACATAGTTTTGCTTCTGGCAATGCCCTGATTCAATGTCATAAGACTAGATTATTAAAGCGGTCACATAATTTTCGATCCATATGGCTGAGTATTAACTTTGACCAGGGCTGGCGCTGTTAGTTCAATACGCCCCACTGAAAATGCTGGGAAGCCTTTAACTCGAACTGATAACTTTATATTTGTTACTGGTGTTAAAAGAGCACTTTTTAAATCTGCCTTCAAGTCAAATATTTACATTTTTCTGTTAATGGAGTGCAGGAAAACAATGCACAGGAACGCACTGATGCTGTGTTAACGGTGGAGCGTAAACGTTTAAGTCACGGCCTGCTGATGGGTGCTTACTGTCAGCGGTTTCTTCAGTCGATGGACCGGCGTTCTCTTCAGGTGTCCCTTCGTCAGCATGGCGTTTGTTTTCAGCTCCGTCCTCTACGCTGGCCGAGGAAGCAGATCCCTCCATCTTGGCGTGGCTGCTTGGTGGCGCTAGTGCTTGTTAGCTTAACAGCGCCACCGTTGTTTGTTTTTTTTTTAATACAAATTATTTTTTTACCACTCAGTCAGCTCCACGAGAGTGAAAACAGTGTGTGATATAAGTCTAGTTCGCTAAAATATAACGGAGAAGTATCATTAACCGTTTTAATAATGCGGTTGGTGTACATATAAAGGCGAGCTGTAGTCAGAACACCTGCGCAGTGCGCCTATCCTTCCCCTCAGCGGAAGTGTCTTCTTCTTCTCTTTTATTTGCCTCAACACAAAGTTATCACCCTGCAGCGACGCCAGTGGTGGTGGTGGTGCATTACTCTGACAAACAAACGCCCTCAAACTTTTCCACTTGTTGCCGAACAGGAGGAGCTGTTCACTACGGAGCCCCTCTGATGACATGGTCCAAAAAATAAATAAATTGTGGCCACAAAATACTACTTCGTGGGCACGAGATGGGTATAACGTGCCCACGAAATACTTATTTGTGCGGCACAAATAAGTATTTCGTGGGCACAATTTGTGCCCACGAAATACTATTTCGAGGCCACGAAATAGGTATAACGTGCGCACGAAATGCTAATTTGTGGGCACGAATTGGGTATAACGTGGCAACGAATTACGCATTTGTGGCAACGAAATGGATAACGTGCGCACATCATATTGATACAATTCCTGGACAGCTGCGTAGAGACATAAGCATAAGAGTAGGCTAAACCTATAGGCTAAACCATGGCCAGAGACAGTATGATTGAGTTTTATTTTTGTCATGGTCTGCGTGGCAGACCGTGGGTGTGTGGAAGGAGGACTCAAAATGCGGAACTCTGGGCGATTAATGCAGTGCGTTTATTTACAGTGAAGTAAACAATACACAATAATAAATCCCCGTGCGTTTCCAACTCCCGTGCCGTGTCTCTGCTCCCGTGAAAGTTGTGCGACAGACTCGCTTTTGCTGGGAACACTGACGGGTAGTCACTCAACGATCCAGCGTGGAGGAGCTCTCAGCCACACTGCTTTGTAGCTCCCCCGACGAGGCTTGATCGGCGCCAGGTGTGTGTGAGGATCCTTGGGTGTGACCGGTCAGCTGGCAGGGCCACACCCACCAGGCCTGAAGGTGCCTGTCACGACCGCACCCACCTACCCACCCATCCACACACACACACACTTGCCAATACACAAACATGGAACGCAGGAACAGCAGCAGTGCAGAACACACACACATAATATAATAAATCCACAACTGTTCAGGGACTCTAGGTTTCTCAGACTCAGATCCCTGACAATTTTAGGCTGGGAATGAGCTACAAATGCATTTTGAAAAGCCTGGCACTGCAAGGAACCATTATTACGGAGAAAATTTTAAACAGGATATTGAGAGCCCAGTTGCTTTGCAGACGTAAGTACGACCCGGACGCTGGGATAGATTTTATTGTCAGTCAACTGCAAGGGCCTGGGAAGGATCACGGTTATTGGTCAAGTGTTTCGTGCCCACAAATTAGCATTTCGTGCGCACGTTATACCTATTTCGTGGCCTCAAAATAGTATTTCGTGGCCTCAAAATAGTATTTCGTGGGCACGTTATGCTATTTCGAGGGCACGAAGTAGTATTTTGTGGCCACAATTTATTTATTTTTTGAACCGTGTCATCAGAGGGGCTCCGTAGTTCTCCACTAAAACTAAAGTTACATATATACTGCAGTTGATTGGAACTAGTTACCTATTTGAAAAGATTTTTATTTTTTATTTTTTTTAAAAACAGCTTAAAGAATAAAATACATTTACTTATACTAATTGATCAACAGTACACGGGGTTAAAGTTTAATTCGGTGACCTGTGAAATTTTAGGGTCATGTATCAAATACATTTTTGATATATTGATATTTTAAAAACCCAGTCCATTCATTTTTAGCTCTTTTTTGCACACATTAAAATCTGAGCAAATGTTTGAAAATGAATATCTCAAAGACTATTATGGATAAAAGCATGAAATTTGTTCTAGTCTTTTTTTCCCCCTTTAATCTTAGTCAGAGTAAATGGATATCACAAGTGGTTATCCTCTTCAAAATTATTTTTGGATAGCTTTTTTGCCTTTATTTGATAGGAGAGTATTGGACAGGAAAACTGGAAACACACCAAAGGACCTTGGGTCGGACTTAAACCCAAACAGCTGCATTTAACCATGGGGAATATGGTTGTCTGCACAAACAGGTAACCTAAAGTGGCCTAGTTGTTTGCACCATACAACTGAATCAGTATCAATAATTTGGGACAGATAATATTCATGTCTGAATACTGGGTAGTTAAAATGTGAAAAAAGAAGCAGTCCTGTAAAGTCCCATATTTGAGTATACACTAATACAAAAAAACCCAAAAAACCCTGTCACACTGTAAAAGACAAGTGACAGTTTGTGAAGTTTTTTCAATTTATTTCACAATAATGCAAAATAAATAATCTATAATATTTTTAACACTACATTCCTATGTTACTAAAAACAGGGAAATGCTATTTTCATTCAACTTCTATGCTGCATTAAGCAAATATGACAAGTTGCACTAAATAAACAAAGCATGGTTAAGTTTCTAGATGTTACGCTAGTTTTCTTTGGGAGAGTAATTTTGGTAAATACTTTTCATTTTTGACACCCACTTTGTAAGCATGCACACTGCCTTTCAGGAGCCAGAAGCAGATTGAACTTCTAAAAAAAAAAAAAAAATCTAGAAAAGTATTTGGTATATGAAGATTTCATTACACTGTCAAACTTGGACGCTAACCCCGTCCAACCACCCAAAAATCACACCACTAAACAAGAGTATGTGAATGGCTGATAAGAAACTAAAAGTATCTCTTTAATTCTCATACGAATTATGTCATCTCAGTGTGGTTTTTAATCTGTTTATCCAGTGCTCTTATACATTGGTTTATTTACGGCATTAACTCTGGCACTTCACTACTGACTGGTGGAACTGAAGCTTAGAGCAGCATAGTGGTGAGGTGGTTTGAAACAGTTGCCTCACAGCAAGAAAGTACTGAGTTTAACTCCACCACCTGGCCAATTTCCACGACAGAACATTGTAACTTTTCTCTTACTGCATCAGTCCTCAAGAGATCAACACATTTTAAATAATTCACACAGGAATATGTTTCATGACTTTATGTTTCTCATACACGTTTTATCTGGGGGTTTTTTTTCTCAAATAAGTTAATAAGTTTATTCATTGAAGGAGGAGTTAACTCAACCCATCATTCACCGAGTCATTTTCATTGTTTCATTCGGCATTAAATATCTATTTAAAGGCTTCTACAAGTATTAAATCTTGCTACTCCGGGTCTCTAAACTGTGAAAAAGATTACAATGTAATGATTAAACATAGAAAATCACAATAAATAAAGCCTATAATGCAAAACATATTTTCATGGGTTATGCACGAACCCATACAGCTTTCCATTATTCAGTGACCTAATTCCTGGGGAGGAAAAATAAATCTGATAGCACATGTTCAAAATTGATCCTACCCCATCATATTAAAGTTAAGGAGTTCCCTATAATAGCAATGTCCAGGTGCTAATGCTGGTTTATGCTAACTGTGAAGTACTGCACCACACAAGTTTATAATCAAAGGCAGGTTTTTATTTTAATCCAATATGTAGACATCATGGGAAAAATCTTCCATGCTAAAACAGTGGATAGAGGTAGAAGGGCACGTTTCTGAATTGATGAATGTTGAAGTTGTTTTGCTTTTCCTTCTTTTTGTGGCTTTTTTTTTTTTCATTTTATTTTTACATATGAACCATTTGTTTATTTCTACAGCAGATAGCAGTAATGAATATTGTCAGTCACTTGGCGGGCCACCAGAGCTAATCTAATGCCCATTTTCATAACGGAAGGAGATGTGATGATGTACTCACCTAGATCTACTGTTACGGAATGAGATCATTCATTATTCACAAAAAAACAAAAACAAAACATTTACGCACTAAAAAGTGGAATTGATTTTTACAAACGTGGGTACATTCCAATCTGAAATACTTATTCTGGTAAGAGATGCAGACTGGACCAATTGAAGCAAAAAATTATGTAACCAATTATTTTCCTTTCTTGCCACTGTAAAAAAAATGTTAATGACAAAACATCACATAAGTCTAACATTTCTTACAAAATGAGCTATTGGTCAGCAGTCATTAATTGTGTAAAGGTGCCAATTTGCCCCATCCCCAATGGCCACCCCAAGTGTTGCAGTTACAGAAAACTCTTACTGTGAAATCACAATTACATATTAGAAATGGTTTTGCGTTTTACTCGTCGCATATTTGGACCAGGCCAGTGGCCCTGTGATCACAAGTGCTCCCTAAGAGGATTATACTGTATGTGTACAGTTTTTTTTCCTTGTTATGTTCTGACAAATCTAATCTGTGAACACAACAATCCCCCTCACTTCTCCAAAAGCAAAAACACACATTTCTTTACAGCATCTTTGAAACAGTTGCTCTGCATTTTGGGAGGGAGGTCACATTGTTGAGTCTACCTTAATAAGCACAAACTAGGCCTAGGATACCAAAGACAGCAGACATGCAGACTGTACTCATAAAAAGGCACACAGTATACTGTACATGAAGAAACACAGTACAAATGATTCAGGACATATGACCGGAACTAGAAAAGTACTAATATTATCTAAATCTAAAGGTCATTGGCAATAAATGAAATGTAGACCTTACAGTAGAACCTCATTAATCTAGAAGTATTTGGATATGCATTTTAAAAGACAGCAAAACACTTTGAATGGCACGTGTACACACCCTTCATGTCAAAACACACCCTGACTGTGCAATCTAATCTGAAGCCAAAAGACTTAAAATGTGTAACAAGTGTACAGGCTAAATCACGTTTCACCTTCCCCATCTTTTTGCTAATGCTCATCCATGTGTGATAAATGAGGTTCCACCAAATAATAAAATTATTACAAAAACAAAAAACTAAAACAAAGTCTTGTTGCTAGAGTAGAAATGTCAAATCTCTCCTTGTGCATGTTGCAAGTAATGCATTTGTAGATCCAGCTCCCGAGGAAGAGAGCACCCGCATATCATGCACTGGAGAAGCCGTTCTGGGGCAAAAGGCAAACGAGATCCAAGTTTGTGAGTTTCTGTCCGCGGGGCAAGTTGAGGTAGGGACAGGGTCTGTGGCATGTGTGGCCTCTCGCTCATGACCGCCTGTGGTGTGAAAAAAATATTTGGGTGTGGAGGTCTTGGAAGTGCACCAACTGCGACAGAGTGAAGAGGGTGAGGGCCAGGCAAAGCAAGAGGAGGGAGCGGAGCAAGTGGAGGTGAGAAAAAAGGAGAAGGCTGATTTATGATTATTTGAGTGCCTGTTACCATTGGTTGTTGCTGCAGCTCCGGTCCATTCCCTGGTTTGAGTTGCCCAGAAAGCAGGGTTTGAGGACCCACTGGGTTGTTTTGGAAGCCCCATACTGGTGTTCCCATGCCCTGTCCAAAACGATGAGGCTCGTACTGAATGGAGATGGGAACCTTCTGTGTTGCTGTCTGTACATTGGCCCAGCCAGATGACGCCTGCTTTTGCTGCAGCTGAAAATCTTGATTATTTACTAACTTCTCAGTGGAGTTTATAGTCTTTGGAATTCCTGGTGGTGTTTGTATGTCCCATAAGGTGCTGCTGGCCCCATGAGAGACGGGACTGGAAATTGGCATAGCACTGCTTTGGTCTATTTGAGCTGAGGTGGATGCACCTGCTAAGCCAGAAGCCCATGGCTTTTGCGGCTCACAGCCGTTCCATGGCTTCTCTGGCTGGCTAACAGTCGAAGGTATTACTTGAGGATTACTCAAGTCCCACACTCTGTCCTCCTTCTTAGGAGGTGTTGACGGCTCCTTTTGTGAGGACACTGGGGTAACTGACCATCTTGGCAGCTGAAGCTCTTGCCCGAGCTTACTTGGTGAGCCCTGTGAATTTACTAGTGGAGTAGGCCTGACACTCCACAGAGCTGCTCCATCTATGTAGGAGGAGGGAACAGAAAATTCGTGTTGCACAGAACTTGTGGAGGCTAGCACTGTAGACGTGGGAGTGCTGCTCCAGGAAACAGGCTTGTGCTGCCTGTGCTGCACCATCTCGTTCACTGCTGACGGGCTGGATTTCTTTGGCACGGACACCAGGTGAGAGGCGGCAACAGAAGACGTGCCGTCTTTTGTGTGTGCCGAATCTAAACTCTGAACAGACGTGGAGCCTGACTGACTTATCAGAGGAATATCTGCCCAGGATGAACTTGTCCGATGGTGCTGCTGTAGCACTGAGCTGTCAAACTGTGTCTGCTGGGGGCCTCCATGTTGGTGCTGCGATGATGGAACGGGCATTACTTCCCCACCATCTACCTTCCACTGCACTGGCTGAGGGTGTAGCTCGGACAGCCACTGCTCCTTTTGTTGCCTGCTCTGTAAATCCATGCGAGATGCATGCATGGAAGATGGCGGCTGTACTGCCCTCCTGTGGAGCTCAGCGTCTCTCACTACCGAAACAGGATAAGAAAGCTGCTGAGGAGTAGTCATCCCTGAGCCTCCTAAAGGTCTAGAAAATCCCCATACTGGCCTCCCACCCCTCCTCCCCCTCCCCCTCATCCTAGAGCTCATTGGGAAAGAACTGTACTGGCTGAAACTCTGCCGCTTACGAGCGTGGATCTTCTGGTGTACCAGCAGGCTACTAAACCACGAAAACGTTTTGTGACACTCTTCACAGCGATGAGGTCTCTCTCCTGTGTGAGTGTTCATGTGATCACGGAGCAGATAAGCTAACCCGAAGCTTTTGTCACACTGGTCACACTTGTGAGGTTTGTCACCGTTATGTGACAACATGTGGTGCTGCAGCTGGATCTCGTCGCTGTAGCCTTTGCGACAGCTGGTGCAGCGGAACGGTTTTTCCTGATGCAGCTTTTGATGCGTTCTCATGTTCTGCAGGAAGGCAAAGTCCTTCCCACAGTCTGAACATTTGTATGGCTTCTTGCCTGTGTGAATGATGAGATGCTGCTGTAAATAGCTACTGAATCTAAAGCCCTTGCCGCACACTTTACACTGGTAAGGCTTGTCCTTGGAATGTATGCGCATATGCAGTTCCAACACTGAACGGTGGCGGAAAGTTTTTCCGCACTCTGAACACTTGTACGACTTAACACTTATGCTTTCGCTTTTCCACTTCACCTGCACATTATCACTGGTTAATGGAGTGAATTGTTTTTTAGGTGGAGCAGCCAGTCTCTCTAAATAATGTGAAACAGACTTGTGGACACTTAAAAGATGCACATTTAAACTGGACTCGTCCCGATAAATGGACGGGCAGTGTGGGCAGGTGTGTCCCTTATCCCAGTACTTGTTCACATCCTTTGGGAGTCGGGGTGATCTCTCCAGCTTTTCATACTCGGCTTCATGAATGAGCATGTGGGCCCTCAGGTTAGCTGGTGCACAGTATGTCTGAGGACAAAGGGGGCAGTTAAATGTGCGTTTTGGTTCCTCGCTCTGGTGTGCGTTCTCCTTTCCCGGCCCTCTTACCTCCTCCTGTTCGGCAGCAGGGGCCTGCTTACTGGTCTGTGCACTACAGGAGTTGGTTTCACGCAGTCTATGCTGGCGGCAGTGCGCCTTCATGTTCTGGGCAAAAGCAAATTTTTTCCCACATTCGGGGCAGCGGAAGGGCTTCTGCCCTGTGTGCAGATACTGATGCTGATGAAGGAGGCTGCTGTACTTAAAAGTCTTACCGCAGATGTTACACAGGTGAGAGCGGCTGTTGTCGGTGTGCTTGCGACGATGGTCTTCCATGACGGAGTAGTGTTTAAAAACCATGCCGCATTCGGGGCATTCATAGGGCTTTAGGGCGGCGTGACACCTCTGGTGGAAGCGCAGGGCTGTAGTGTTTGGGAAAGTTTGACTGCACTCTTGGCACATAAAGGTGCTCTCGTAAGAATGGGTCATCATGTGCTTAGTGACGGAGACCTTAAACTGGAAATCTTGGCGGCATAGGGGGCAGTGGTAAGGCTTTTCTACTGTATTGCTGCAGTTGTGGTCCCTCAGCTGGCCGACTGTGGAGAATATCCTCTCACACTCTGCGCACTGAAAAATGCCCTCCTCCATCGTTTGCACCTCCTTTTTTGGAGTGACGAGCTGCGGCTCCTCACTCTCCCTGTGTTCGTTTCGGTGTTTGATGAGGCTGCTGCGGTGCTGAAAGGTAAGGCCGCATTCTTTGCAGGTGAGGGGCGTGAGCTCGTCCTCATGCGCGTGAAAGTGCCGGTGGAGGTTGAACGTCTCGCGGCGGGTGAACCTCTTCCCACACTCTTTGCAGACCAAGCGGCACTTTTTCTGCTTAGCAGTCAAATCAGTATCCACTCCTCGGTCTGCCTCCTCATCGTCTTCAACCACATCCTCTATGCCGTCCACTTCGCCCACAAAATCCTCATTCTGTGGTTTAACTGCACTCTTCTCCTCCACATGTGGCTCTTCTGCATTTGTGGCAATGTCACTGTCAACACGCTTGTCCTGCAGCACCTCTTCAGCATCCTCACAGACACTGTTGAGGTCTGCAAGAGAAAAAAAAAACACAAAAACAACAGCACAGTAACAAGTTAGAAAACAACAGTCTGACAAACTGCATGCATCCACCCTAGCATATGCATCATGAGCGTCGTTAACAAGCAGCGGTGCAGGGCTGATGCTTCGGTGTGCCGTGGTCAATAATGTCAGCAGAACTCACAGTGCAGAACAGAACCAGCAGTGAGAGCTACAGCTCAAGTTAGCCCCGGAGGCTAAAGCTAACGGTAAAATACATCAACAATGTTAGCATACCACACTTATCGTTTTCCTCCGCGTGCGTCTGTGCTTCTTTGCCGTCATCTTCAGTCTCGGACCAGTCGAATGGACGCTGGTCACTGCCACTGGCCTCGGCCATTTTTTCAGCCGCTCTCAGGTCCTCCGGTAAAATGCATGTCGTTTTGTCGGCTCCAGCACCGGACTCGACAGTAACCTCCGAATGGCTGGCAACACAACCGCCGCCGTCGCTGCCAACATCAGCTCTCTGCTCATCGTTGGGGCTACCCCCGGTTTTAATACACGTATTCTCATCTTTCTGGCGTGCACTGCACCCCGACTCCACCGCCTCGGTTTTCTCCCCACATGTTTCCACCTCCTCCTCGGCTATTTTCTGCCGTTTGGGAGACTTCGCTGGGTCTGCGGCGGCCATGTTTCACCCATGCACCCCCTTGTCCAGACCAGAGCACATAAGGATCATGCTAGTCAGGAATCAAATTTCCGGTCGAAACTTTCAAAATAAAACGGTAATTACGCTCAGCGCGGTTCACTTCATCGTTTCGGTAAATATATTTTGAAACGTTAAATCACGCGTTTCCTCTTTACTACTGTTTTGGAGTTGTTTTTATAAACACTTGACAATTGTATAAAATCAGCTTAACTTTTCAACATTAGCCCTGATATTTTATTATTATTATTTTTATATGCGGTGACAAATCCACAAGTGATTGGCTGGGTTTATTTGGAGTCCATGTCTGTCTTTTATTAAGTTTAGTTACATTTCATCAGAACAGTAGCTATCTACAAAATATAGCTTGTGCAAAACTACTTAAGTGATGGCAATAATCTGTTTCTTTGCAACTATTTACAAATACATCCATGTCACTGCATGCAAGATTACCATAAATAGCTCCTACATACTTATGTATGCTTTTAAATTCAACCATAAACATAGGATTTTAAACCCAAAACATACTGTGATGTATTTGTCATGGTGTCTTTTTTGTTTTTAAATATATCCCAAAAAGTTTCGGTTCTTCTGAATACATCATTTTTGTCTCAAAACGCACTGAACAGAACACAGTCTAGCTTTATTGTCCAACCAAAGTTGGAAAATTATGTACCATAAAACTGTTGAAAAGCACAAGCATACATTAGCAGATAATTACAATGGCTGTATAGCTACAATATATGGTAATAACAGCAGGTTACAGGTACTTTATGACAACAGGGTTAGTGTATCAGGAAAGCTGAGTCAGTACTGAACTAGTAAGAGCATCATTGAGCTTTGCAGCTCTGCTGCAAACCATGTACAGAGACATGCATATTGAACATCACTGCCTACAGTATGTCATTTTTCTGAGTTCTTAAAGTCCACGAGTGAAGTTGCCACTCAACAGAGTCACTGTTTTTAAGAGTCTTTTAGAACATGAGTATGTACACATGTCTGAGAAACCAATCTAATGTTAAGGCCACCTATGATCTCAAGTGTCTAATTTTCATATCTGCTTCAGTCCTGTCTGAATACAAACCTAAGTGCGAGATGGATCCAGAGTACGGCATAGCACTCCAAACAACTATTGTTACTGAAATACTGTCAGTAGAAAAAGAGCATCATTTGTTTGTCACATTTTGAAACATCAAATACAGATGATATGCAGTTTATAGAGTTTTTGAATACATTCTCCTCAGCGCCGTCGCCTGCGTCTGTGGTCAACAGCTCTTCCTCGCCGTGGTCGCTGCATACTTCCATTTGTGTCTGTGGGTGGATCGGAGGAAAAAGTGCACTCGTGCATGTCCGGGGATGATGGTGCAGGTACAACAGCTACAGATGACTGGTTATTTGAATGCTGGCTGACCTGTGGTTGCTGCTGTATTTGTGTTTGATGTTGTTGTGACTGCTGTAGCTGTGACTGCTGTGGTGTTTCGATTCGCTGTTGTTGTGGTTCTGTGTGCTGCAGCTGCTGCTGAACTGGCTGTGGCTGTAAGTGCTGCTGAGGTGTTTGTGATTGGTGCGCTTGTACACGATGTTGCTGTGGCTGTGGTTGCTGCTGGGCCTCAAGCACTCCTAAGAGCCTTTGCAAGAGGACATTGTTTTGTTGTAGACTGACTGCTAATGCCTCTTGTGAAGTGACAAGTGTTCTCATGTCCTGTCTGAAACCTTCGCCAAACTCCCGCAGACTCTTTTCTACCCGATTTCCAAGCTGAATTGCAGCTTCCCCCAACCCTCGTAGCTCATCTTCGAGCCAGGAACTCCGTGGAGGGGCTTCAAGAGGACCCTGCTGTGCTCCAAGGGATGGCTGAGGACTGCTGGGTTGCGGGCTACCATTGAGGAAAGGAGCACTGTAGAGAGGAGAAGGTGGCAGCCATCGTTCTGATGGAGGGGGTGGTCCTATTCCCAGACCAAGGCCTAATCCCAGTTTGTCTTCCATACTGTTCTCTACAGGTTCACACTCAGGTTCTCCCATGTCTCTGTCACGCTCAAGATTGTCCTCATCTTTCTCCAAACAATCTCTCTCTGATCCTTCCATTCCTACACCTGAAAATAAATTAATTAATTTATTAATAAAAATGGACACAAGCATTGATGAAATTAGTTGCATTTAAAATCTAAAAAGAAAGGCAGTTCTCAGACAACAGTTTACCTGTATCAGAGTCAGCGAAGCATGGAAAACTGGGCTTTGGTCTGGTGCTTTGCTTCTGTCTGGCTTGCTGAAGCCTGGGGCTTGGCTGAGAAGGACGCCCGAGCATTGAGGTCCCTCTGCTGGATGGCAGGTAACAGCTGCGGTGGCGGGCATCCGCCAGTCTGCCCCCATTGCGCCTCTTTAAGTCATCCCAGCGCTTCTTCACCTCTCTAAGGGTTCGCGGGACTCTGGAAACAGCATTTACTCTCTCCAGGATCCCTGCCCAGATGCGCTCTCTTTCACGTCGCCGGAGCCTCCCTGCCGGACCAAAGAGTTCTCCTTCGCACCGAGTAACTTCGGACACCAGCACTTCAAGCTCCGCTCCGCTGAAGCGACTCTTTCTTTTTCCTGCGCCGCCAGCAGCCAGTGCAGCTGACATAGCTCGGTCTGTCAAGAGAAAGTTGAGAGGAAAGCCAAATGGGAAAGAAAAAAAAAAAAATCTAAATATAAGTGTCAAATTCAGAGCTTTAACAGTCTTATTTTAACTGTGCTAAACAACAACATGGGCAAGTACAACAACTCTTGGCAAACCTCTGAGCCCTGTGACATCAGAATTTTCTTCCATCACTAAAATGTAGCTACACATTTTCTAACAATAATAAAAAGTATTTTTTGCATAATCCAGATGATTTTGCTGACTAAGGGTGACAATAATTTCACAAGGATTTCCATTAGGAGTAAGGCTGGTTTACAAAAAAGATAAAAAGGAAGAACTCTGTTTTCCATGTGCCATGCACATGTTTAGAATTACTCTAAACAGGTGCTCATCAGCAGGACAATTCAACTGCATAAAAGCAAACAGACTCCTGTTTGTTGGAATTATAAAGATATTTAATAAAAGTTGCCAAAATATAAAACAACTGGAGATAAAAAACAAAACAAAACAACGACCCAGTCTTCATCGGGGACTATGATCAACAGTAGCTTGTATTTTCTTTTCTTTGTTTGTTTTTTTTTGCTCTATTGTTCCAGTTCTTTTATATTTTTACAACTTTTAATCAATATCTTTATAATTCAGACCAATAGAGTGCCTCAGGAATCTCTGCTGTTACAAATATGCTTACTTTGTTCAATGGACAAAAGGTCATCTGAGGACATGCCAGGTGCCATGATGTTTGGATGTACCACCACAACGTTGAAGGGGAGTCCTCCGGGTAATCCGCTGCTCTGGTCGCAGCTGCCCTCCGAATCCTCATCCTCCCGGGGGAAGCCGTTCTCTGAGGCTCCCCCCCCAAAGGGTCCCTCCGGAGACTCCACTTTGATGTGCATGGGAGGTGATTGCTCGTACAGCAGCCCCCCCTCCTCGTAGTACTCAGTCATGGATCAGACCTGATTTACAGCAGAACTGACTGGCGGGCCAATTCTGATACTGACAGCTTCTGCCCCATTAACAAAAGTTCAAAGCAGAGGTGAACCTACTGCTGAAGACAATACAACTCTTCTGTGTACACATAACTATCAACCTTTTAAGGGTACAGCTGCCACACACTAAAAGTGCGAGGGGGAGGTGGTTCTCAGGAAACGTAAAGTTAAAGTAGTCTTAAACCCGCTTTAGCACATTTATTAAAGCTGCCTAAATCATTGTTGTAGAGATACAAAATAACATTGTCTGATTGATCGCTAGCTCCAACCTCTAAAATCCATTTCTATCATTTCCACCAGTACTGACATGTTAATGCAAACCTAAGTGCAGTGTGTAAAACACCAGAAGAAGGCTGAGTGCTGTATCTAAACGTCCACTTGTTTAACACCGAGTCGAAACATCAGGACAGAGGATCGCCTCCCAGTTCTGAAATCCATCAAAAAATGCTGCTTACAACTATGTCGAAAACCAGAACGGCTACGTTTGCTTTCCCCCTGTAATCTCCACGTCTGCGATATGTCGCATCGATGCGCATTTCTTTCTGCACCACATCCGCAATGGTTGCGCATTCCGCATACATTAGGTGCTGGTCTTGGGATGGAGCTAGTTGTTAAGCTAACAGGCTACCGCAGCTTCAGGTGGAGCGGCAGCTCTGTCGGAACTCCCACTGACAAGCTAGCCGACGCGATTGGAAAGCTGACGCTGTTGTGTTTCTTACCTCATGATAAGGGCACATGGGAGGCAAAAGCAAACCAAAACACAATCGGTGCAGCTGTTAGCTCAGCAGCCGACAAACAGACCGAGGACAGTCGCTTGTTGTTGACGTCATCGAAGGTGCAAGCTCAGGACCAATCAACTGAAGAGCTATCAATTCATCCGTTGAACGATGATGGACAGGCACATCGCGATGTCACACAGTATAGAGATGACTTGGAGGGGTTTTAATTTTACTTTTAATAATAAAACGTCTCTGTTGTTTTCTGCTTTGTGTCGTTCATGATATTTTTTATAAACTCCCGAAAACTCTCAGTTCTGAAAGTACGAACTGTTTTATATATTACACTTTGTTATTGTGATTGTCCTTTCTATTTTATTGTAAGCTATTTTGTTTTCTCCTGCCACTTCATTAGGTTAACCTGTTCACCTTCTGATTAATGCACATGTCAAATTAGCCAATCACATAGCAGCAACTCGGTGTATTTAAGCATGTAAGACATGGTTAAGACCACCTGTTGAAGTTCAAACTTAGTATCAGAAGAAAGGTCAAAGTTGCTTTGACCGTGGCATATGTGTTGGTGTCAAACAGTTTAGACCGAGTTTTCACAGACATACTGGGATCTGCAGGATTTTTCTGCATATCCATCTCTAGGATTTACAGAGAATAGTCAAAAAGAAGAAAATATTCAGTGAGCAGCAGTGCCCTATTGATGTCAGAGGAAACAGGAGAACAGCCAGAATCAAATAACCAGTCATTTCAACCAAGATATGCAGAAGAGCATTTCTGAATGCACATGTTGAATGCACATGAATAGCAGAAAACCACACCAGGTCCCACATTAGGGGCCTTAATACCAGCTGAGCATTGTTTAAACACCACAGCCTGCCTGGGTATTGTTGTTAACCATGTCTATTCCTTTATGGCCACAGTGTACCTGACTTCTGATGGCTTCTTCCACCAGTATCACAAACCATGTCACAAACTTCAAATCATGTGAAATAGTTTTCTTCTACATGACAGTGAGTTCACTGTACTCAAATGATCAACACAGTCACCAGATCTCAATCAAGTAGAGCACCTTTGGGGAAAGGAAGATTCACATCATGGATGTGCAGCTGACAAATCTGTTTCATGCTATCATGAACCAAAACCTCTGGGGAATATTTCCGAGGCAAAGTGCTGGTCCAACCTAACACAAGCAACATGTACATAACAAGTGGGATTTCAAGTTTCTCTATAAAAACATGTTGAATGGCCTGATTAGTCATGAGGAGGATGGCGCTGTTAAGGAGACGAAACTGATCGCCTGCATGTGAAAGTAGGCGCCTGCATGTGTTGTTTTTTAATTAAAAAAAAAAAAAAACCTAAGGAGGATTTTAAAAGCTGTCAGGTGAAATTACTGTAAAAGCTTCACTGGACTGTGAGTGTCAAAAGCCTTCAGCCTGAGTGCGTTGTTTACTGGGAGGAGTTAACTAATGCTATTATGCCAAGGAAGCAAAAAAGCACCTGAAAACCAAATGGCTGTTATCAGAAAAATGTTGCCTACTGTAAAGCACTGGCTTTAAATCAAAGAATGCAAGAATCTTTGTTGGATTGTGTGAGCATGTCTGATGACAGGAAGAAGTTATGTTGTGTTAGCAGAGTGTGTGTGTGTGTGTGTGTGGGGG